TATTTTTTGTCCTGGTGGAGCCTTCCCGCAGCAGCGGGGGAGGGTGGTGAGCTGACGGGGGCCTTCACTGTTCCGTCACAGTGATGGAAGTCCCTAAATTGAGATGGTCAAAACAATTAAAAACCCACCATTTAAAACCCACCATTTAAATTTAGGGAGAACTAAACCTCCAGCATGTGTACAAGCAGCCTTGGAGTCCAGTCCTTTCAGTGCATAATCCTATGACTATCTGGCTAGAGGACTGTGTCCTACTCTTACAACTCTCCCTGACAGAAATGATGCAGAGGCATAGTTTAGTTCAGGGTCCTTTTAGGGGAATGCAGTTCTGGTCACTCTGCAGGCCCTGATCTGGCACAGTTGTAAACTTTTGGAAGGTGCAGACTCACAGCTGCGTCAATGCTGTCCATTACCTTTAGGAGATGTGCAAATAATTTATCCATGTTAATCAATCATGTCTATCACAGGCATTTCACACACCCCTGCACATAGAAATTCACCTCTGAGAATGAAACAATAGTTAACCTACATAATCCACCCTGCGCCTCTTTTTTTCCCCTGAGAAAGATTCAATTACTATCAATTTGTGTATGCTGTATTGATAGCTTTAATGACAGAGCTGTCATAGTCATGCCAATCTATTTCCCAGGATACTTCCACAGTTGGCTGGTAGTAACTTTTTGGTCACTACTATGACAGTCTAAGATTCTTTAGCGCATGGCCTCCAGAATCACCTGACCTACAGGATCCTTGCACTTGCTACTGGTTTTCAGTACAAGGAAACTTGGAAATCAGAGTGGAAACTGCTTCAACTATTGGTTTAGAACAGGGGTGCTCAAACTCTGGCCTGCAGGCCAAATATGGCCCATAGAGCAACTGCATCTGGCCGACACAGATCCCCACTGGTTGGGAAATTTGGTGGTGACCGCCAAATTGACCACCTTCCCTCTGTCAAATTCCCAAATCCCAGGCCCCACATGCCCGGTCAGAGCCAGGCTGTGTCCCCTTCCCCCCAAGCTGGGCTAGGTTGGGGCTGGGCCATGCCTTCTCCCCTCTCTTTCCACAAGGCTGAGCCAGAGCCCCTTTTCCTCCACAGGACTGGGTGGGGTTAAGCCATGTCCCCTCCCTCATGGGGCCGAGCCATGCCCCCTTCACCCCCCATCCAGGTAATATCCTCCCCTCTACACCCTCCCAACCCAGTGAAGCCCCCTTCCCACCCTGCATGGCTGGGCTGCCCTCTGTCCCCCTATACATGGCTGGATGATGACCCCCCCCACGCCAGCCCTGGATGCTGGATCAAAACCACGATCTAGTCTGTGATTTCATAGTTTCATAGTTTGTAGGGTCGGAAGGGACCTGAGCAGATCATCAAGTCCGACCCCCTGCCATGGCAGGAAAGAGTACTGGGGTCAAATGACCCCGGCAAGGTGTTCATCTAGCCTCCTCTTAAAGACCCCCAGGGCAGGAGCGAGCACCAATTCCCTTGGAAGTTGGTTCCAGACCCTAGCCGCCCTGACT